AGCCCCCATTTGTTAATGTCTTCAGTCAATCTATTGGCTATATTTGCAGCTGTTTGGGTTGAAGTCATCTTGAGTGCTTCTTTCCTGCTTATTTGAATGTGAACGTAACGTGGGTCACTATAAAATGAATTGATCTCATTCCCTAGACTTCGATTTTGCAAAAATGTAAAGGAATCGATTCAAAATCGATTTTTTTACCCAGCCCTACTAAGCAACACAGAATATACAGTGGACAGGACACAGAAATAATACATGCCAGAGGTCACGTACGAATCTTTGCAAAAACAAGACCTTAACTGGTGACCTGCAAGGTAGGATTTTGAGCAAAGAGATTTTGGCAAAAAAACAGGAAACATCTCTTTCCTGTTTAAGAATCGGAGCCAAACAGGCACATTTAGGACACACATACATAAACACACACACCAGCAAGATTTCGAAATAGCACTTGCTGCTAGGGTATAAATATAGCTTGATATATGTCTGCCATTTCAGGGGAAAAACTGAGATGTCTGACGATGTAGCTCTGAACTTATTAAGTGTTTAAGACAGCTGTAGGAATTCAAATTGTCAATAAATGTTTCCCCCCCTCCAGAGGACAAAATGGTGTGAATCATGTTCAAGTGTCCTTCTTTCTGTCATAAGAGAATTCTACCAACGAGCTTCCACAACAGCATCTTCAGAGACCAGAAAAAAAAAAAAGGTTGGAGACTTTAGTCAGTGGTATGTGACACTTTAGCATAAAATAGAGTTGTCTAAATGAACTTTTCCTGCATCTATAGACAGCCTAGTGCTCCGTTTACCTCGCACTGGGACAGCAAGACCTTATGGACATGTGAATGTTTTGACTAATGGGCTTTGTGCTTTATCCTCTACAGACTGTTATCAGTGAAGATCTAATGTTTGTACCGATGAAAATCAGTCATCCAGGAAATGACAATACTCAGTGCCTTAGTCTACTTTTCCATTTATTAACTACTGTCCATTCCTTTTGTTAAATAAAGGAAATGTTTGTTCGAATAATAAGCTGTATGCAGACCTCTATCATCCAGACATCTCAATTCTGAACCCAAATCTCAAATGAAATAAAAATAATGTGTGCACTCACCTCATGGATCATAGTCGCTGCCAGCCCGTACACAACTCCGATCCAGACCTCATCTGATTGGACACTGGAGCGGTCTGGCACTCCCTCAGGACGCATGCCGTTAACCGCGCCCATGTGGCCTTCAGAGAAGCTCATAACATTCAAATCGAAGACGGATTTCAACGCGCCTCGGATCTTTTCCTTAGGAAATGCCTTGAGAGGGAGAAAAGAGGGGATGGTACGGAAACATTCAGATACTGGAATCACAAGCAAACATTTGTGTATGCCGGTGAGTTCTTATTCTCATATTCATCTACTGCTGTATGTCGGAAAAAAATTGCCAGTGTGACATTTAGGATGAGGTTTGACCTCAATAATTACTTTATGAAAAGCACGTTACCACAGCTGTATTTTAAACTCACCTGGTAGGCTTCTTCTTCCAGCCCAGATGCTCTAAGGAACCAGTGCCCGGCGCACTGATCAGCCATGACGCTGTTAGAGAGCTCCCTCTTACTGCTATCATAGTTATAGTATTTCCCTAAACATATAAGGGAGGGTAAAATAAAATAAATGATCATCAGCATGTTGTTTTTCTTATTAAATGCATCAAAACATTCTTAGTCTTTTAAAACCTGAATCAACAGCATCCGCCCCAAATGTACAACACTGTTTTACTCAGAAGTAAGAGATGTGCACTTTCAGTCCCCCCTATCCCTAATGTCTCTGCAGGATATTTTCACATTCTATTATTTTCTTTATACATGTGACAATATTTAATTTAATTTTCTTTTTTTTGGTTGAATTCTATACAGATTGTCTTTATTTATTTCTACCTGATTGTTGATTTTTTTTTTCCTTTATCAATAAAACGCTAAAAAAAATAAAAAAA